TGCCGATTCGTGTTTTAGCAAAAACAAGGCCTCCTGGATATATAGATTTTAAATACCGCAATACAAATTAGAGTCATTGTTTTGTACTAGCCATTTTAATTCATTACAGCTCCAATCTATGCTATATCTCATGTTAGCTGTTCGGGCCCAGCTGTTCTGGGACTGGTCTAGCTTACAACAAACTGGCAGTATGGGACATTAGGCACTGGTCCTACGCCCGCAGCCAGTTAATTTTGTTTGGACCAGCACTAGAAGATTTTCTAGAATGTCTGAAATTAGGGGTCTGATATGGCCATTACACTTTTTTCTATAAAAGCATTCTATTTTTTTTTTTATTTGGTGTTTTAGGTGGTGACCAGTCCGAATGGCCAATAAGTTGAAAAGTTAATTGCACAGATTGACCATAGTCATAGATATTCCATGAATATTTCACAACATGGTCAAGAAATCAAATATGTATCATGTTACTGCCAACTGGTGTGACATAACATCTGGAATCACATGTAACATTACCACCAAAGTGTCACATCGCTATTCAATTATTGATCTAAGCTTTAAGCTCTACTTACAATACCACTTTGCACCCATGACATTTTGAAGGTACACTACAATTCCAGTAATATTTTTTGGTCTCATATGACATCACACAGTGACCAGCAGCATTTCTAAAGACTCTCTTGGATGATTCGGGTCTGTTGGAGGAAAAAATGTAAGTCAGAAGGTTCTATATACAAATTCTAATGATAATGAAACTTCCAAGACGGACAGTTATCTAAGAGAAGAAGAATGGACTACAATTCCAAAGGATTCCAACTCCCCTTTACGTTTTCCAAATGAAAAAAATATTTTGTATTACTCTTCACTAATTTTGTCTTTTTCCAGAGTGGCCGACTACACATGCTCTTGGAGTGCCGCCCTCTAGCTGGCTACTTTGCAGATTTGCCTGCTTAATTTTCTACACAATCGATACACTTTATAAATTTAAAAGGAGCAAATTTTCCCAGTAGTCCCTGGGTTGTAGCATTTTAAATGATTCAATACACTAGAAGAGAGCCTAACGGTGTATTAGCAGTCAAGGTTTCTAAACATCACTATTCAGTTTCAGTGGATATTACATTCATCATTCACCTTGCAACTGGTAATGTATTTAGGACTCAAATAAAAGGACAGAAATGTCAGCCAACTAGTCATTGTTATATTTCTGTTCTTTAGAATTTTGCAATCCGTTTTACAAGTGTTTGCTTCTGAATGAACATAATGAACTAAAAATGGACCTTTTACACAAAATAACACTCCACCAGGTGCTGAGAAATTCAAAATAAATGGAAATCTAGATAGACAGTAAATGTCATCAATGCAAGCAATAGGTTGATTCATGTCATCTTAAAAATGACTTTAAGATGCTAAAGATTTCAACCTTAATAAACGTTTGTGCATAGAATATATGTGCTATAATTTACACTGATATCATACTGGTAAGTGAAATTTTATGAAATGATCATACTGAAAGTCCTCATCTAACAGGTCATGTTAGTTCTAGACTTCTCAGTTGAATGGTAAGACCAATACAAAAGAATCATAACCTATCAGATAATTGCAGAAGCAAAAATATATGACAGCTTTAATATAGATCGATGATGGAAAGGTTTTTATTGCAATACCAAATAGCAGAAGCAAGCAAATCCATGTGATGAGTGCAAACCTTCAATTATAAACAAGGTGTGTTGAAAATACACTGGACCTGCAATTCTGAAAACCATTCTCTTTATGTCATCCAGAATTAGGTGATGTATTATTATTATTATTATTATTATTATTATTATTATTATTTAACTGACAGGTGACAATCATGCCAAGTAAGCTAATTATATAATCAAACCCATTAAATAATTTGACTTTCTCATTAAGAATATATACAAGATATGCAAGCTGCAATATGTGCTGAAATGCATTTTATTGTAATGATCTTCACTGATTCTAGCTCACTTTTTGCGAAGACTCTGACCTAGCTACCAATTAGTTTAGTTTATTTATCAAAAAAGTAAGAAGACTCACTGGGAAAACAGGAGAAGCTATGTACACCATTTCTCAAATGTTAACCGATTAAAGATTAACAAAAATTAAAAGAGTGACTTCAGTAACAAAAACTTGCTATATAATGTTCAGTGGTCGAAAAACTGCTCATATTCTACTTGTTGGCTATGGATTACAAGGATTTTAGGTAGTAAATCATCCATCCAAGCCTTAGACAAAATACTGTCTGAAATCATTGCCTTTCCTTTAAAATCCCCAAGTGGCAAAAATTTAACCGAGCCCAGAGTAACAGAAGAATGAACTAAGACAAGTACTCTGAAATGTCAAAATATGATTGCCTAACATGTTTTGGGAATAGACGTATCAACTCCTCTTGTCTGACCTACTCCAGAAATCAGATAATCAACTGAAGGACTGAGTTTATCGTTTACTTAATATCCCCTTGAATGTTATAAAGCCTAAAGGGACAGTGTAGATTTTTATTTTCTCTTGAATTATTCATTGAATGCCTGTGCTGATATCAAAAGGCATGATATGTCCTTTTAAATTGATATGAATCAAATTACATTAATATATAATAAATATATCAAGATATCACATACCAACTAACATTTTTTTCCTGGAGTTTGTTCCAGTATCATATATAGAATACAATACACAGAATATATTAAAGTAAGGCCGCATTCTCAACGAATTGAGCCAGGCTTTACAAATCCTGAGAACTAAAAATGGCGGACGTACATGAAAGAAAAACTGCCTAATCTTTTAATAGTCTCTCCGCCTCTCACACGCCTACCCACACGTCGTCCCTGCGGGGTACAGTAATTAAATCTCGGCTCCGAACATGAATATCTCCGTGAATATCTCTGGTGATATTATCTCCGTAGATAGTCGATTTATTGCTGCTCTACGGGCAAATTCATTCCTTTTTCGTCTCTGTTTTGAAAGATAATAGAACAGAAGAGCTTTTTTCCTTCGATCGCCTTCAGCCGCCATGCTTTCTTCACCACGAGTTTAACTGAAGAGCATGCGCACTTAATATTTCTCAGGTAGCTTCCGCATGGCGAACGGAGCCGAGATTGAATTACTGTACCCCGCAGGGACGACGTGTGGGGAGGCGTGTGAGAGGAGGACAGACTATTAAAAGATTAGGCGGTTTTTCTTTCATGTACGTCCGCCATTTTTAGTTCTCAGGATTTGTAAAGCCTGGCTCAATTCGTTGAGAATGCGGACTTACTTTAATATATTCTGTGTATTGTATTCTATATGTGATACTGGAACAAACTCCAGGAAAAAAATGTTAGTTGGTAGGTATGTGATATCTTGATATATTTATTATATATTAATGTAATTTGATTCATATCAATTTAAAAGGACATATCATGCCTTTTGATATCAGCACAGGCATTCAATGAATAATTCAAGAGAAAATAAAAATCTACACTGTCCCTTTAGGCTTTATAACATTCAAGGGGATATTAAGTAAACGATAAACTCAGTCCTTCAGTTGATTATCTGATTTCCGGAGTAGGTCAGACAAGAGGAGTTGATACGTCTATTCCCAAAACATGTTAGGCAATCATATTTTGACATTTCAGAGTACTTGTCTTAGTTCATTCTTCTGTTACTCTGGGCTCAGTTAAATTTTTGCCACTTGGGGATTTTAAAGGAAAGGCAATGATTTCAGACAGTATTTTGTCTAAGGCTTGGATGGATGATTTACTGTCTAAAATCCTTGTAATCCATAGTCAACAAGTAGAATATGAACAGTTTTTGGGGCACAGATTGAGAACATTATAAGTTTTTGTTACTGAAGTAACTGAAGATCATTATCATTACAATAAAATGCATTTCAGCACAAATTGCATATCTTGCATTTGTAATGAGAAAATCAGGTTATTTAATGGGTTTGATTATATAATTAGCTTAGTGGCATGTTTGTCACCTATCAGTTAAAAAAAAAAATAATAATACATCACCTTATTCAGGATGACATAAAGAGAATGGTTTTCAGAATTGCAGGTCCAGTTAATTTCAANATATTTCTCAGGTAGCTTCCGCATGGCGAACGGAGCCGAGATTGAATTACTGTACCCCGCAGGGACGACGTGTGGGGAGGCGTGTGAGAGGAGGACAGACTATTAAAAGATTAGGCGGTTTTTCTTTCATGTACGTCCGCCATTTTTAGTTCTCAGGATTTGTAAAGCCTGGCTCAATTCATTGAGAATGCGGTCTAAGACTGTTTTTAAATATAAGGTATATCTATATCTAAATTTTTCTAATCTTTGTGCACTCTGTGCAAATCATGTTAGAAGCTGTTGACATATTTTCTTTTTAGGGCATGAGCTTTATTTTTTTTATTTCATTTACTAATTATATTACCTATCCATTTTTATTAATTTATTCATCTAATTATTTATCACTTTGCTGTTCAAAATTAAATTGAATCAAACCAAAAACAAAAATCCCTCCTTATTACAGTGCTACATACATAAGTATTTAATTTTTTTTTAAAGCAAAATGATAATATGCCTCACTTTGCAATAATTATAAATACTTAATAATTCATTTTGTTTAAATTCACTTTATGGCTGGACCTGTGTGGCTTTTATCTCTATTCCATCTCCTTTAGCTCATATTAATTTTTAATTGTATTAATTATTATCATTTGAGGAAAAAAATCAATGCCTAAGTAGACGTACAGTATGCAAACAAGACAATAAAACACCCCCGGGCTTGCCTAGAGGGAATAACGCAGTCGGCTTATATGCTGCAAGACCAAGGCGAGTTATTTTTCATTAGCACATATTAATAATAAAAGATGTCAATGGACACCAGGTAATGGACGTGGCGACATGTTATTGTCATTTGTCTGTGTCACTTAGCGTAATGTCACCAGCATTTCAAGCATTTTACAAGATATATGCACGCGTTCAACTATAAGAGCAAAATGGACTCTCTCTCACCTGTCATCATCAGAGAGGGCATGGTCTCCCCAAATCAGATCTCTAAACCTGTATCTAGGCGGCAGGGGCGGGACAGTCCGCGAAAACACGTCGCTTTCCATTGCTGCAGGAATTGAAATCTGCTACTTCACAACATCTGGCCTCACTTTCAGTAAATGGCTGGTTAATAATAATTTCAAGATCGGCTGTCGAAAAGAGTGTGAGGATCTTCATATTTCTTGACTCTTTACTTAAATTGGATGTACGTAACATTTTACTTGTGTTGTTAACGTGATAATTATGATATTTTGTTGTGCTGGGCTATAGCGTCCCAATAACAATCCTTGATCATGATAATTCTTGACTTTGGTGGTGCTTTAAAGATGGCTGCGCCCACGTAGACGATTTTTTCTGCAGTGCCGGAGAATGAAATATCAAATTGTATATACACAAGGTAACTAACAGAGGTTCGATTGTTATGACAGGGAAGTAGCAGGTGAGCATGTAAAACATGTATGTGTGTCTTTGTGAATGCAAAACTTAAAAATACTATTTCCATATATACATTTACCGCAGATTATCATTAAGGCCACACAGCCTAGCTACTGGCAACACTGAGGCAAATTCATTACTGACAAGAAATAGGTTACGAGAGATTTTGCAAGTAAGAGGATTGAAATTTTATGAAAATGAATTATTTGAATAGACAAACTGTCTATAAAGACGTACGCTGCAGTGTCACCTAAAGTTGAACACATATTTGATTTGAATAATTTCTATCTCTGGGAATCAGGGGGCTGTCACTGATATTAAACAATATGGGGTGTATGTGTCGATTTTATAAAATTCGTTTTAGGTACTTAAACAGTTTTGATCGTTTTTTGCACTATGGTAAACTATTGTGACCTTGCTGGTTCTTGCTGGACTGAATACTGGTCTGAACAATAGGGGTCTTTACACCATCGCACGATTCGCATCTTAACACCTCCTCATTACCTCTCCTAGCAAAATTATCATGTTACCTGTATCTTTTATCCTGTACCATTTAAGTGATATTCTGTAAAATGTGTCATTTTTTATTCACCAGTATTAATAGTAAGACTTTTATATTAAAAATTGATATATGTCACATATTTAGTAGTTGGGCTAGGGTATCGTTGTTGGGTAGTAAAGGAGTATTGGTACTGGGAAGTTAACCTACTGATCTGACTTAGAATGCTATGATTTAGACTTGATGGTGACTGAACCCCATGATCTAATATCCATTGTAATTAAGCCATAAATGTTAATATTATTATCCAACAATATTATTGATTTTAAAACTTTTGTTAATATTTTCAATATGAAGAATATAAATCAGGTAAGAAAACAAAAGGAGGTATTATCACCATTTGGTTTAAATCCTATAGTTTATCCTAAAGTTCTCAACCTTGTTTACAATTTGTGCTGAAACTGAACTTTCCCCATGTTTCGTGTTCCAAGATCTAATGACACTAATGACTACTTCCAAGTACTGCTCGAGAAAAGCAGTGAAAAACACTACATGTACATCATTAACATTAATGACTCTCTCTCTCTCCTTATACTTTCACTTTTCTCTGATTATACCCTATGGCTATGATGCCTACTGCAGAGATAATAGTGTCTACATGGAGAGGTCAAAGAGTCAGTGGCCAATTCTGCAGACGACAAAAATCAGTCAAGGCAGAATTCTGCTTCTATGGCTAAGGTGGCAATTTGCCATCCATATAAGCAGCAATGGACACACTTAATTGGCCAGCAACACTACATTAGAATGTCATTTTTACTTATAGTTAGGCACATATCACAAGCAACAATCAAACACAATCCCCAAATTTGTGTTTTTGCACTAAACTCTGCACCAGACAGATGTGTGTTACTGCTCATTAAAATACTCACATCTATAAATGATATTAATTGGTTTATCATAATGAGTTTCAGATGTAAAGGCATTTGTGCCAGTATATGTACAGATGTGCTGCTGACTCTGGCCAGATATATTCTGATTAAAGTGTGGGAGAGCACAGCTGTTGTTGTGTGGTCATATTATCATGTTATATCAACAGAGACTTGAACACAAATATGGAGTGTTCCCAGGTGAGAAAATTGAACTTCTGCATTTAGCTTAGACATTCATGGATATGTGACTTGGTCCAATTTTTCATATCACTTTTTTTCTGTATTTAAAAATGTTGTTTTTGTGAGAAAGTTGAAGTGTATATTAATTTGTACTTTTTTTAAATGTCAGTGTAAAAAAAAATGCTTCATCTTTTTAGTATAGTATCTGTTTTTCTGTCAGACATATATGTAATTACGTACTTTATCAGTATATTTGCATGTACAGCAATACTTGTACAGAGTAGATAAAATCAACTGCAGACACATGTTGAATCAATAATTTCATTTCTTACTGACATTTCAGGAGATGTTTCCTTTCTCAGTGAAAGATAAAGTTGGCTGATACAATGTTTGTAAACACTGCATACACAAGGTCACCTTTTCAAAGCACTGAGACCAGACATAAAAATGCCAGTCAAGATGAAACTGAGAGTAAGGATTTTCCTTGTGTTGACTGTAGCCTTTCTGTTTGTAGTCTCCTTCAAGATTTTAGAACCAGAACTCAAGGACCATGGTCTCCATAGAGAGACCAGGGATTTTCAGGACTACTATGACTTTGCAGAAGATGGCAGAGTCAGTAAAGACAAATATGGAAAAGAGCTTGATCCAATACAACATATAACAAGTGGCTCAATAAGACAGAATTCTCTTGTAGAAAAGCACAGCAAGTCTGAACTGATTGCAGAACTTATTAAAAAATATAAAGTGAACTTGAATCATAAGATAAAAGGTTCCCCATGGGAAATTGCTGCAAGCTGGGTGACGTCAAGGAGAATACACCCTGAAGAAGCCCCAGAAATGGGTAAGTTCTTCTAAATTTAGCTCTCAGATTAAAATTGACACCACTTAAGGTGTTGGTCTAGAGCTAAATGTTCAAGATCCTGGTAATTTTCCAGGCAAGTACACATTGCAATTCTGATTGTGGTAGAGAAGATCTAGATGGTGCTGTGCAGTGGATGTGAATTGTTTCATGCTTCATGCATGAATTGCTTCATATTTTTATTTATGCTCAGCAGGAAAAAAAATTTGGTGCAAAAAAACAATGTCTTAAATGGACTCCCTTTTTTTTTACAAAAAAGCAGTAGATTATCCAGCAAAATCTTACAATGTCTTTAATGAATTTACTTGCTTTTTTATATATTATTTTTTATTTTTATTATTTTTCTTACGAAACAACAGTAGATGGCATTGTTAACCAGTTTATTTACAAGGAGCATGCAGTTATTAACAGATAATATTATGATCTCAATTACCTTTAATAGAGTTATAGACTTAGTGTTTTTGAAAAACGCTAAAAGTTGATGGTAAAAAACATGTCTATATTTGAACATCTCTCTCTCTCTCTCTCTCTGTCTCTCTCTCATTTTCATTACAACCAAGATGTGAGGTGTACATGGACCCTCTGCTATGCACTTACAGTAAAAGTAAAAATAAAAGGTATCATATGAAATATTCTTCAGAGGTGTGATAAAAGCAAAGCATATGTGTTCTACTCACTTTTCTCCATCATCACTTAGATATGTTTCAACAGACTTCTGTCTTAGGACTGCAAAGATGTCCCTTGGTCTCTCAGCGTCTGGTTCACTATTTCCTCTCTCAAATACCATTGTGTCCCCTATCCATTTGTTGGTGTAGAACTCTCAGCAACTTTCTGGAAATATATATATATATATTAACATATATGTATAAAAGAATAAGTGATAGGCTTGAGGTTAGAAACTTACACATAACCACTTGGATTTTATTTTTACTACTGGTGAATTATATATGTATTTAATATATGGTAAATATGATTGAGAAGTGTCATCATTAAATAGTTGTTTAGGTGTAGAAACAGTGGGTGAAAGTTTTCAGGATTATGCCGGATTTCAGTATTTTCGGTCTTCATTTTAATTTTTTTTTTCATGTGGCCTAAATTTGATTAGAAATTGCATGCACCATTTACAAGGATTTCAGTTTTATAACTTCCAACAAGAAAGAACACCTAGGTTTGTACTGTTTTATGATTCAAGTAAAATGTCAGTGGATATTGACAGCCTGATGTTATTAGAAAGCATATAAAGTTGTTTTAGGCTTAGAAAACTGTCACAGAAAATTAAGCATTTGAATTGTATAGAGAAAAGGGGTTCTCAAACCTAGTGTTATTCAGATTCCATTGCTCTTATGCAGGGGCCATTCAAAATAGATTATCCGAGTACTAACTGATCTTCCAACTAAATATGGCTGACCACACTTCAAAGGCAATGCCGCCGATTCCCGATAATCTCCCTGCCTCCACATGTGCCATTAAACTGATTAAATCTCAGCTCTAGGTTTAATTGAGCACATTCTCAACGAATTAAGCCAGGCTCTACAAAGCCGGTGACCTAAAAATGGCGGACGTACATGAAAGAAAAACTGCCTAATCTTTTAATAGTCTCTCCGCCTCCCCACAGGTTGTCCCTGCGGGGTACAGTAATTAAATCGCGTCTCCGTTCGCCATGCGGAAGCTACCTGAGAAATATTAAGTGCGCATGCTCATCAGTTAAACTCGTGGTGAAGAAAGCATGGCGGCTGAAGGCGATCGAAGGAAAAAAGCTCTTCTGTTCTATTATCTTTGAAAACAGAGACGAAAAATGAATAATTTGGCCCGTAGAGCAGCAATGAATCGACTATCTACGGAGATAATATCACCAGAGATATTCACGGAAATATTAATGTTCGGAGCCGAGATTTAATTACTGTACCCCGCAGGGACGACGTGTGGGGAGGCGTGTGAGAGGCGGAGAGACTATTAAAAGATTAGGCGGTTTTTCTTTCATGTACGTCCGCCATTTTTAGGTCACCGGCTTTGTAAAGCCTGGCTTAATTCATTGAGAATGCGCTCATTGCTAGCCCCCTGCAGCGCCGACGTGTGTAGAGGTGGGGAGACCAAAGAATTAGTGGCATCACTTTTGAAGTGTGGTCAGCCATATTTAGTCGGAGGATCATCTCTGATCATCTATTCTGAATGGCCCTTCAATTAACATTCATGTTGACTATGCAATGAATTATGGCCAGCAGCTTGATTTATGATATCATCTAATGTCACTATTAGATATTTGTAACCTGGATGAGATTCACTGACACTGGCCATCTAATTAAAGGTTATAAACAGTCTTCTTAGAGAAATGCTCTCTATATAGCTATTCCTCAAAATAATTCTGAAATAATGGATGGAATTATTATAGGAACAATATATATATATATATATATATATATATATATATATGTGCTGTTTATGTATTTTCTTTCTGATTCACTGTCAAAGATAAGATATCCTATAAAGGGACTTGAGACACGAGTGCAAAATGTTGATATTAATATTGAAATTTGTCCCCTGGTAAATATAAATAAACCTACCAATTTCCCAATAATCTCCTGCTTTGCACTAGTGAAGCTTATTAACTTTCTCAGTATGATTAATATAGAAATGCCTTGATATTTCTGAATATCAGTATTCTGAACCCATACAAATGATTTTAACATGAAGTACTAGAATTGCAGGCTGGTTGAAAACATTTGTGCGTGACAGTAACTCAGTGTTAATGGGGGTCATAGGAGCACAGAGCTTCATTTCCTGTATGTTTAAAGCACTAAATTGATTCTGCTCAAACCAAACAGAGTTTTGTGCATATGCATTGGATATATATTCTCCACTGGCCACATATATAGTGCTGCTTTTGACAACAAATGTTTAAAGTAAAGCACTGTTCATACAATAAACTCAAATCCCATGTTTTTTATGCTAGTTTAATTAACATGGCAATTAAGTAAAATTTAAAACACTATTCCAAACACTCACATTGTAGACAGTTCATATACCCGGTAGGGTTTTGGGAGTCAATTTATTTATTTATTTATTTATTTATTTATTTATTTATTTATTTTCTCTGTGTGGGTGTGTGTGTGTAACAAAATAACATGTTTTATTGAGTGGAGCCCTGTTCAGAGTTGGACCTCATCCTTGCAACTTGATTGTATCAAATCCCAAATGGCTAGTGCTTTACATGCCGTACCATATGTAACATTGGCACAGTGGGCTATAGCTAGTAGTGAACTCCCATTTGATTGATTTTAAAGGGTTGGTGTGCAGTGGACATTATCAAGGGAACGCCAGTTAACTATCAACAGTTAACTATTATGCAGACACTGAAAAAAGGTTGTGACTAATATACTGGTAGGAGTCTGCCTGCCTGTACTACTAAGGGTGCATTCCCAGATATTTAGATTGATCCAGAGATTTAGGTTGACCTAACTCCCTGGGGGTTCATGCTAAATTGCAGTCAGCCGAGCGCTCACCATAGTTAATTACCCCCTTACAGCTTTTAATAGACAGGGATAGATCAGTCTAAAATCTATGGGAATGGGGTCTAAGTGATGGTGAATACAAGATAACAACAACACTTTCTAGTACATTTAAATACTCCTAAATTTGTGTTGTGAGGTTTGGCCATGTTTTACACGAGTATTGTTTTTCTTGACAGGAACATGGCTTTATCATATATGTTTCTTGGGCCACGTTCAGACTCAAACATACATGTAGTACCAGCTGGATTGATCTAACTCTGCAGAAGATTCTTGTCAAAGTGCATTCAGTGTAATCAGCTTAATTGTCTAACATGCCTCCTTGAGTAGCCAGTTAATTAGTTAATTACCTACTTAACTCTCAAGGAGGCATGTCAGACATGTTAGCCAAGTACAGTGATTGCACTTAAGGAGAATCTCCCACAGAGATGGATGGATCCTGCTGCTACAATGAGCACTCCCTATAAAGATTTGGATCATGACACTATAAAGATATTTCATTGAACTTACCGGCACTTCCATTTCCCATTTGATTTAAATGGAAGGGAAATTATTACTAAAATATGTATTAACTCTCAGAAACAAAAAAGGGGGATTATTGAATAATACAGTACCAAATATAGTGCATATCTCTGTTATGGAGTATCAGTGAAATAGACTGGTAGAGATTATTTAATTTGGTGTTTTAATAATTCAAAGAGCAAGCTGGAATTGGTGAAGCTGATGCGCATTGTAGTGTTCACAAATATAATTCCCGGACATGTAAATTAATTTGATTAGANGGATTGTGATCTACCTATCCATATATACATTTACCGCAGATTATCATTAAGGCCACACAACCTAGCTACTGGCAACACTGAGGCAAATTCATTACTGACAAGAAATAGGTTACGAGAGATTTTGCAAGTAAGAGGATTGAAATTTTATGAAAATGAATTATTTGAATAGACAGACTGTCTATAAAGACGTACGCTGCAGTGTCACCTAAAGTTGAACACATTTGATTTGAATAATTTCTATCTCTGGGAATCAGGGGGCTGTCACTGATATTAAAACAATATGGGGTGTATGTGTCGATTTTATAAAATTCGTTTTAGGTACTTAAACAGTTTTGATCGTTTTTTGCACTATGGTAAACTATTGTGACCTTGCTGGTTCTTGCTGGACTGAATACTGGTCTGAACAATAGGGGTCTTTACACCATCGCGCGATTCGCATCTTAACACCTCCTCATTACCTCTCCTAGCAAAATTATCATGTTACCTGTATCTTTTATCCTGTACCATTTGAGTGATATTCTGTAAAATGTGTCATTTTTATTCACCAGTATTAATAGTAAGACTTTTATATTAAAAATATGTCACATATTTAGTAGTTGGGCTAGAGTATCATTGTTGGGTAGTAAAGGAGTATTGGTACTGGGAAGTTAACCTACTGATCTGACTTAGAATGCTATGATTTAGACTTGATGGT